ACTTAAATTAATTTAAAAATCAACTTCACACGATAATTTCAATAGCAACCACGTGCGTACAATTGACAAACTCACATAGGTTATGTTTACTACTTAAGAACAGCTGATGAGAGGGGTGTTATGTAAACAAACATGTGTACCAACTGTTGGTGATGAAATATTTCATTTGTTGAAAACTCAATATACATATATATAATATAATGATACTATATCTTGAAAACAAGAGCTAATATATAATTTTTATGGTCACTTTCGGTTTTAACACGTGTAAATACATTAAAATCATCTAATTTCAACCCCGAAACAAAAACTTTGTTGTGTTGTGATGAGATTTCTATATGATTTTCGTTTCATACTGATGCTTCAATGCCGTAGCTTCAATCTGCTTATTCCCCAGGGCTCACTATGAGATCTCTCTAAGGTTTCAATCCCCCTACTCCTTAGATTGAATCTAAGGAGTAGATCCAACCTGAGAATTATTTTTTGAGAAGTTTATCTTTCCACATCCTCGTGGCCATTGCCGAGTGATAATAATTTTGAAACAGTGAATGACTCCATTAGATTTTCCATTACATAATTCGTTTTTTTCATCATCGAATCCTCATGGGAAAATTTTTACTTTTTGTAGTTTGGAATATTCTGTGAAGAAAATCTTTGGAAACTAACACTCATAGGAACAGTGAGCGTCATTGGAGAGATAATTAACCTTCCATTTTCTGGCATATTATCAGATAGGTGAGTACTGAGTCTCTTTCCTTTTCTCTAGGTAAAACTAACTCAATTTGAAAAATATAAATAACTTGTTACTTTCATGCAAAAGCACTGGGTTTCAGTAGTTTGAAGAAAGTTCAGGATTTTCCAAAAGTATCATGGGAAGTACACTCCAACTGAAGTGACTTGGTCCCGTATTCCATCCTGTTCAGTTTTTTGAAAGAATATTATATCTTTTCATCTATAAACTCAAATGAAGAGAAGGGGGACAATATCATCATCATCTTGTCAGAATTAATAATAGAGGCGTAGAAGAGGATCAAACTTTGTTAATAGCCCTAATAGTTAAATAAACGACCAAACATATCTAAGTTTCTTCTGACATGAATAGTACCAACTACTAATTAGACCATTCTCACAGGTATAGTGACAGAAAAAAACTTACACGTATTGGGGGGGGGGACATTGACCACTCCCGATGACATTTCTACCACGTGAAGCATCACATCAGGACAGTACAAAAAAGTTTTGGAAATAGTTCAGAGATTCAGTCACGAGAAAAAGAGATTGCACCGAGAAGGACGCATATTGACTTCAGTGGGACTCAATATGCCTCCAAGATGACTAACCTGGTAAACCCTGTATTTGCAAAGTATCATGATGTGATGGTTCTCGTAAAATGTCTGCTGGAAGACCAACAAAGTTAGTGATGAGATGATCATTAGAATGATTTTTCAATAATATAAAAAGGCCGTTTCTCAGCTGATCCCACTATTGCTATTTCGAAAACGGTAAGACCTAGTAGGTTGTTTGAATTTAACGAACTTTTCCTATTCTGGGGAACTAGAATTATCAGATCGAGATTATCAGTGGTTGTTTTTCAGATATACGCCAAAATATAGAATTGTCTAATTTCGTTATGTGCCTTCATCTACCCATTTCGAATATCACTGTTTCATCTTTGTAATAATGAACCGATTTGCAATACAATGATTTTGGTAGTCACTCTGATAATAAAATGAGCTATTTATCGCAATACGTGTATTTTTCGAAGTTTTTCTCATCATCACTGTATGGTCATACAATTCACGATTAGAGATACCTCAAAACAGTAGGGATCAATTTTCGTTGAAACTCGAAATTAGTATCCAAGAGTAAATACAGGGACTATAGAAATTCAAAAACACATGGATATTTTTAATAGAAAAGTAGAGGCAATGAACAATAATAAAATATGGCTACCTACCTTAATGGTATACAAACAAGGTGCGGTAATCTAATTGAGAGACACCAAGCCACGCCCACTGATAATAATATAAAATCAAAGGTTTTCAACTTTACGAAAGTACGTTAAAATACAAAAAACGCAAGCCTTGCTATAAAAGCTACACTTATAGACAACTACGACATCAGTAGTAAATAACTAGTAAAAGCCTATACATTTTACGCCAAGGAAATGGACAAGAAACTGAGAAATGAAAAACCCCAACTCCACCGACTTATCAACCCTGATTCCGATATCAGTGACATGGATTCCGACGACATGTCGAAAGAAGAAAATCAAGTAGCGAAAACCCCAAAAAAGAGGAAAAAAGAGCCAGAAGTGGCTTCACCAGCCCAAACAGATAATGTCCGGAATTTTACAGCTCGAACGGACTATCAACACAATGATCCATGAAATTACACCCGCTTTACCACGACAACCGGGCGTGCTACCAAAAAACTCCAGGCTCGCTCAGACAGATGAGCCGGCAAATCCAAAGAAAATAAACGATCCTTCGCCTGAATCAATGGAAGTAGGCGACGTAGAACAAGACACGGATGCCCTGACAACCCACCAGGCTGAAACACGTTAAAAACCTATAACTATCCGCGCAAAAGAAAAATGGAAAATATTTACGACGACCGCCGCTGCGCAAAACATCACCATTTCGCAGGCGGTGAATACGACAGAATCGAAGTCCACCTAAAAAACTCAGACGACTACAGGAAAATCACTCGGATTTTTTACCACAAGAAGATTCCGTACCACACCTACACAATGCAAGGTGAAAAATCACTCAGGGTAGTCTTTCGTGGAGTCCCGGAGTCCATAGAAAAAGTCCAAGGCAAAGGATTTGAGGTCCTATCTGTTGCCCGCTTGAGCAATGCAAACAAGACACCAATTCCGTTTGTGCTTGTTTTGGTACCGATGAGCCAAAAACACTATACGTAGTCACCGAGATCCAAAATGTGAGCGTGAGTGCTGAAACACAAAAACCAAGAAATACAGCAGGATAATGCTATAGATGCCAGAAGTCTGAACACACACAACGAAACTGCAAAGCAGTTCCGGCCTGTTTTAGATGTGCCGGACGGCATTTAACCAAAGAATGTAAAAGACACAAAAATTCGCCCCTGCGATGCTTTACGTGCAAGAGAGACCACCCAGTGAGTTTCCACGGGTGCCCTGAATGCCCCGAAAACAAAAAAAGGTCTCAGATAGGCCAAACGAAAACCGACAGCCCCCAAACCCAAGGCCTGTCGGAAAAAGCACAGTCAGAAGCGACGTTTCGTAAGCGAGGGCCGCTTCAATACCAGAGAAAGCCTGTCACTTTCTCGAAGGTCTCCTAATGGCCTTAGGGCAAATGTAGACGCTTCTAATGAAGTCCCCGATGCTGCAGTCTATGCTGGTCGGAAAATAAAATGAAGAAATATTGCCTAAGCGGCCACAAAGACAGCACAAGCAGACTGCAACTTCTGTCTACAGGGCCATGAGCCGAAAAGAAGACGTCAGAGGATAAAGCCAAACCTCTGCTGCCCCGCCAAGAATCAACACAGTCAAACACCCAAACAGCTCAAAGGATAAGGGGCCCAAGGCCCAACATATGACTGAAAAAAACAACTATCGAGCATTGTGGTTAGTGCGTTTGGAACAACGAGAACAACTTTAGCACCAGAAACGTCAAGCATAAAAACCTGCAGACCACGGCCGAAAAACCTGAAAAATAGCTTTCACACAGTTATCTCCGGCCGAGAAAGTTCACATGTTTCAAATGTTCATCATTCATTCACTAATAATAATGAAGTTTATTCACAATGGATAGTGATATATTGTACACTCCGAAACTCATCATATCAGATGATCTAGTGGGCCTTTGTATGGGGCCACAATTGTCAATACCCTGGTTTGTATAATGATACTCGTATATAGTTACTTGTGAACCAGCTTGTCATAATGAAAAAGTAGCAGCTTATTACACTGAAATTTAATATCATTTGGAATTTTATTATCTATACAGTCAGATAGGCAGCCGTGGTCTTTTCGAATGGACCAGTAGATCACCTGATATGACGCCTCACGGAGTTTTTGGGGGGATACCGCAGAGAGAACTTGTGGAATTGGCCGCGGTGGTGGTGCGCCCGACTCACGATCGGAAAGCCGTGGGTTCGATTTCCGCTTCGACCAGATATATTTCTCGAGATAATTTATCTGGCTGGAGCTGCGATGATTCTGCAACCGTATTAGGAAATACACGTTAAAAGGAAAGACCTCGTTAGTCCTTAGATCGCACACGTTTCTCAACTTCTGAGAGTTGTCGTTCGTATGGGGGCGACTTCTGATTAACGGAAAAACAGATTTAAACAGAAACAGATATAAAAAGAGATGCTTCCAACAAAGTTACCACAGACTTATTGTAGAAACTGGAGTGAATTTCACATACATTTTTTCGAAATATGATATTATCGTTTGATTGTCAATTTTTTAAGCGAATACAAACTTGCTAATTTTTCTGGAAGGACTAATTAAAACAGTGGTGGATAGAGAATTAGGTTTCGTATCAAACAAAGTAGCACAAGACCTCCTTTTGGGTAGTAAAAAAAGTTGCCATTTTGGCAACCAGGGATACAATTTGAGAGCAACTAAAAATTCTGTCCAACTTTGATGATTTGTCCGGTTTGAAAGATAGGAAAACCGATTTATTCACGGCCATATTATCTATTTTTCAATATATTTTTCAACTTCTCCTTCATCATCTAGCTTTATGAGGATTTCTGTATTTTCCTCGTTCAATTATCCATTCTTGACATTTATGATTTCATACAATTTTTGTCAATTTCTTTAAATAAGTCCGATAAATAAACTATACTGTAAGTTTTATCATTATCGTTTGAATATGTCAAAAATATCGTTCCAAAACTCTTCAAGGCATTCAACTGCTTTGTTTATTACTTCGTTTTCAGGTACGGCCGAGAGAAGTTAATGATGATGAGTATACTCATGGGCACAATAGTTGGTGTGACGAGATCATTCTCTCCAAACTATACGATATATGCCATCTTGGAATTTCTCGACACAGCATTGAGCGCAGGAATGTATGGAGCTGCCTTTGTTCTGGGTAGTATTTTATCTTTTAATCATATTGAATCAATGGTTTATCTCATCCTTCAATTCCACAATCGTTATCATCACCATATATGATTGCTATTATTATTATCTGTGACGGTAGAAGTTCATGGAAGAGCTAACAATGGCCTATTTAGAATGAGACTCCTGTATGTATCGATCTCACTAGATCTCTGTGGATTGTGATAGCTGGTTGAGTCTGATCGACTCACGGATTTCATTACAATCATTACAGGACTTCTCACAAATCAGAGGTCTTTCATATTCCATCATCTTGCCTTTGGAAGCATCTAACAATTGTCGTCCTGCAAAATCCCTGCCAGGTATGAAGAGAAAATTCTCCTAGATGACGCCATTTGTGGTGTATCCGTTTGAGGACGCATGGGTTCAAAGTCACCTAGAATCACCAACAGAACCTTCGAGATAATAGCCCCCCACTCTTCGTAAAAAGTATTCTCATAGTAATGGAGGGGTATGCATTACTATGAGATACCCGTCCCCCCACTCTTCGTGAAAAGTCTTCTCATAGTAATGCAGGGGTCTGCAATGACAATTTTTTATTGCTAGGTACTTGAGAAACCTTTCATACACTACCAAAGATGTAAATCTTGAGTCTACATAGAAGCCGGACATTAACTAAATGACCTCCCTGTAGTATCGAATAAAGAACAAGAACACCACATCTCTCCAAATTTTCATCCTGTTGACAAACCTAGGAGATTAGGAGGTAAAGTTTGAATTTCACTAGTTCGGACTTCCATTGTCTAATATATAAAATGATTTGAAATCCCTGAAACAACTAAAAATGAATAGTTGAAAATAACAGTTAGATTAAGCAAAAATTACCTGAAATGAAATAATGGTGAAATAAGATACAAGTAAAAATCAAAATAAAAAATAAAAATGAAAATAAAATGAAAGTTAAGAGATTTCAAGCCATGTTAGTTCACGACGTTTCGATTGTTAGAATCTACAATCGCCTTCGGGTGAAGACTGGACTGATTCCTCCGAGAGATGACTATTTATGGGTCGTTCAAGTACTTTCACTTATCCCCGCTTTCCATTTTTTCCGCTTCACGGGTTCAGTGGGAGATGACCGTTTGGCGGGAGTTGGCCACTTTTCGCTTGATGATGGGTTTCCATATGTAGCTTGGCTGAATACGTTGTTGGACAGCATGTATGCGGCTTCCTTAAATTTTCTCCTGAACCAATGTTTCTCTCTGTGTAAGATCTCAGCTTGGGACCACACGATGTTGAATTCATAGGTCCAAACATGGTCTGCTATTCCTAATTTGCTGGTTTCCCCTCGTTGTGTGTGTTTCTTGTGCTCGGCAATGCGAACATTCAATGATATTGTACTTGGAATCAATTCTTCTTATCCTTTCCGATAATCCTCTGATGTAGGGAAGTGCAAGCACTGGTTGGGACGCCATCTCTTCCTTGCGAGGCTCCTACTTTCTTTTAGCCAAAGTCTTTTCTACCATCGCTTTGGAGTAGCCACTCCGTTGAAGATCATTTTTGATGATGTCTAGTCTAGTTCCTTCTCGAGACCTCGAGTCTTAATGATTCCTCTTTCAGTCGATTGATGGTGGTTGGATTCGTGGTTCAGATACTGTCCCGTGTGAGTGGGTTTTCGTTATACAGATGTTTCCCACATATTGTCGGTTTTTTTTATTTCATTTTCATTTTTATTTTTCATTTTTATTTTTATTTGTATCTTATTCCACTATTATTTCATTTCAGGTTATTTTTACTTAATATAATTGTCATTTTCAGCTATTAATTTTTAATTCTTCTTCTTTAGTTGTTTCAGGGATTTCAAATCATTTTATATATTAGACAATGGAAGTCCGAACTAGTGAAATTCATCATTTAACATTGTCAATAACCTTCAAACAAAGGTGAAGTTTCATGTCACATATTTCTGTTTCTTACCCACCTCAGAAGGTGATTGCTGAGTGACTCGATCAGGAATTCAATAAATTGTGAACAATGTGCTAGTAGTGATACTTTTTGTATTTTCTGACATGCAGCATATTTCGTAAACATACAAAGACACAACAGTTGGAATTTTAAAGTTTTCAAAGTATTGTTTTGAAGTAATAAAAAAATAACTATTTTTTGCAGCTATGGAAATCGTCGAACCAGAGCAGAGAGATATAGCAACCCTGATAATTTGTTGTATTTACACTCTGGGTCAAGCAATTTTAGGAATAACAGCTTGGTTATCACCTTCCTGGAGAATAATGTTACAAGTCCTCTACGTGCCTGGTATAATTTTCTTGTTATTTTTCTTCACATTACCAGCATCCAGAATGTGGGTTTTGGCAAATAGTAGAAAAGAAGAAATGGACGACATCGTTGTACAAAAGAAAACGAATGAAATCGAAAGTATTGTACACGAAAATGCAAAACCAGTGGGAGAAATAGAATCCCAAGGATTTTGGGACGCCATAAGCCAAAAGGTCATATTATTGAGAGTAATCCATTGCTCTTTCACTTGGATCGCCAATAACTTCATTTACTACGGACTTCTACTGCAGTCGGTAGCAATATCTGAAGATATTTACATCAGTTTCATTATTGGGGTTGTTGTCGAAATACCAGGTTATATTATCTACTATTATGGAAATAAAAAGTTCAAAAGACGATGGACGATGCTAGTGGGATTTGTTTCTACTGGAGTATGCTGTATAGCAGTTGGATTCATTCAAGAAGGTGAAACCATATAATATAATTTCATTTTATTTTCAGTTTTCCTTCAATGCACAACAAAAATTCATTCAAATTATGGATATTATCGAATTGTGGATGTAATAGACCGGGTGAATCCCCAGGAACTGCATTGATTGATTGTGGGAAAACTATAATTAGGAAAAATCTGAAAATTCAACAATATACTAAAGTCGATGGGGGCAATTCGGTCAAAATTTTTGTAAAATGGCGGCACTTCCAGTTATATCGGAAGTAGGTGTCTACTTTATTATTTTAAAAGGAATAATCTATTTCTATATATTATTACATTTTTGAATTCTGTATCAGGATCTAACTACTTTTCGTGCATAATGTCCTTTAACTAAGGCTGACTGTTTTTTGGCATATTTAAGTTTCCATGTCCAAAATGATGTTAGCAGACCCTAAAATAATTATTATCAGTATTTCCTTTAAGGAAAGTTTTATACTATGTCTTGATCGAATTCCTTGTAGAGCAGTATACTTAATTGACTTCATATGAAAATTCGATAATCAATGATACAGGGTGGTCCGAAAATAAAAATATGAATGAAATTTAATAAAACGCCTAAAGTGACTTTTTTCAAATGGAAACCTCCCATTTTCATAATTTAAACGTATTCAGCATCAAAAACAAGGGTTACTTTGTATTAGGATACCTATTCCGGAAAAAAGTAGTTTTTGAAATAATTGCAATTTAATATTTTTCTATCGACAGAATACTTACTATACGATTTATAAATTCTGTCAGTTGGCCATGACGGCGCGATGTTTGGAAATAATCTATTCATACGATAACGCCACTAATTGCCATTTGCAAATTGTCAATTATAGATCATGCAGGGACGATAAAGTTACACAAACGAAGATCATTTAAATTCATTCATTATTTACGAAGAATGTGAAAGTTATTTCAAGGACATGCGATACATTTGCGACCTGATTTCCGGAAAAAAGAAACCATCACCAAATACTGTCGAAGCTTTGTATTCTTTGAGGTTAGGTATAGTTCAAGTAAACGATATAGTGCAACCTGCCATCCAAAAGCTCTCCTATGATAATATAGTTGAGGAGCTAACTAATTTTGTCATTCAATAATCATTTCTGATTATCTTCTCATAATTTCTTTTCCATATTATCTGTATCACTCTCACTGTCGCCATTTGAATCAATAATGAATTCGTTTACACCATTAATATGGAAGTGTCTAATCTCCATTAGTCTTTTCCAACTAATACTACTTTTTTATTGCTTTTCTGCCAGTCTTCTTCGATAATATTAGATACTTCTTGTTTAATTAGCTCTCTCACCTTTTTATTAAATTTTGGAAAATTATTGTTACGCCTGATGCATGGTTTCAATTTTCTCCAAATCAACTCGATGGGATTGAAAACACAAAAATAGAGGGGAAGCCTCACTAGGGTGTGTGCATACGTTTCAGCAATACTCTCAAGGGCATACACTTTTTCAAATGTTTTTGTCTGCACAACGTCGAGTAGTTGGTTTTTGGTATAGTAATCTTCAAAATACAAAGTGTCATCCATTAAAAAACTTTACATTTCATCTTTCATCGAATTTTTATTCGGTACTTTGATGAGCTGTCGCGAATGATAGGAAGTGTTGTCAAGAACTATTACACTATTCGCATCCAAATTTGGGATCTATGTGTTTTCAAACCATTCTTTGAAAATATTAGCTTCCATATTCTTAAAATAGACAACATTGCGGTCCTCAAGTTTTTTTCCACATAATTTCATAGAATTAGGAACCCATCCTTCACTTCCTTTGCAATGCATAATGATCAGTCGCGATCCTTTGATTGCATGCATGTTAGGCGTACAAATTCTCGAACCACCAGTCCACCTTTTCGTAACTATGTCGTGAGTGTCATACAAAGTTTCGTCCGAATAGAAAATTTGCCGTTGTTTTTGTCTATATTTAGTTATTTGTTCGGTGTATTTGTTACGGAAATCCACTTTTGTTTGGCTTTCCATAACTGCTTGACGTTTGTTTATTATTTTAAATCTGAATCCTAGTTTCTTCATCCAAATATGGAGAGTTTTGTCACAGCAGCTCACGTTATGGCCCGAAGTATTCAATTTTTTTCTTATGATTTCTGTTGTAGAAATCTCATTGCTTTTGTAACAGTCCCAAGTATATTGTTTTTATCAATGATTTGATTAGATGAACATCTTAACGCTTCGGTAATCCTGTATCACATCGCTTCTTGCGTTCATAAAGTTTATTTTTGACTATCTTACATACAGTTGAGAAAGGAATTTCAGTCAATCTGATGTTGCTTGTAATAGTTTGTTTTCATTGAAGCCAAATTCGAGAATGCTTCCGAATCTCATTCACTGGTATCTCTTTTTCGCATTGTTCACCATCGGTATCGGAATAACAAAAATTATGAATAATCATAACTGCACCAATTTCAAATTTCAACACCCAAATCGCGATCAGTTCCTGAACTGAACACGACGTTGATAACCATCTCCGCATTCCCCGATTTCTATTCGTCATCGTAACATGACATCAAATTTAATTTTATGACTCGTCAGCCAATCATAAAACTCGGTTGGTAAAAATTATTCAATACGAACAGTCCACGTGGACTAGTTCGCAGCCGGTTTATTTCTGTGTATTGGTTTTTTTGCCTTTGAAAGTGCCAACTTTGAATGTGCGCAATTTCGTTTACTTCGACTATACTCTTTCCCATACAAAAAATATTTTACCAATATTTTTCTATTACAGAATTCTACTGGATGAAGCTGATACTATTTTTGATTGGAAAATGTTGTTCAGCCGTAGTATTTGCCCTAATATACGTTTATACTACAGAAATGTTCCCAACAACTTCCAGACACACCATGCTTTCTATAATATCGATGATTGGAAGATTAGGATCGATGTTAGCACCTCAGGTTCCATTACTGGTGAGTCAATTTATTGGAAATCAAATTTTTATCAGTTTCAAACTATGTTGAACGCGTTGTATTTTCAGGCTAAGATATCCACTGCATTGCCACTAATATGTTTTGGTATTATCGCCTTAGCTGCAGGAGTCCTGGCTTTGTTATATCCCGAAACACTGAATACAAAACTTCCAGACACAATTGAGGAAGCAATTAATATTGGAAAGGCACCAGTTGAATTAAAAACGAATAGTGAAAAATCAGATATTTGTGCTCGTTTATAAGTTGATAGAAAGTGTCTACTATTCAGCTAGTATTTGATCAATTTTTTTTAACAGCTACTGTTGACAGTATTTTTGTAATATGAATTATTTGATAATCATTCCATTCTTCCTGACTTTTTGTGAAAAATGTCTCGACATCTATCTGAGAATAGTAGAACATTGATATTCAAGAACTTTCAGCATTCGATGATGAAATTTAATCTACCATTTGTTAGATGTCGCAAATAATTCCGTAAAAGACCAGTATTTTTCATAATTGATTGTTTTACTTTCTCATGTGTGAAGTGAAGAAAAAAATATATTAAAAGTATTCTAATTTACCATCCTTGATATTTTGAAAATGAATGAGAATTATTACGCAACTCAACTTTTTTCCGAAGTTCTAAGTTCGTCATTGTGAAATTTCTGAAATATTTTATAATTTCCAAGTATCATAAACGAATGATATCTTTAATCTTCTCGAATTAATCATTTATTACAATAATTATCGGAATACCATATTTTTAGGGAAATACTATGGGATCATAAAACAATGGAGACGTTTTCTAGATTTTTGTTGTTTCTGGTCCAGCTGCTGTAGGTTTGGCTGTGATATTTCCCAAAACACTGAATACAAAACTTTCAGATACGATTGAGGAGGCTATTAATATAGAATGACACCAGTAGGATTAAAAGCAGTGAAAATGTTTTTATTTATTTCATTTTCAATGAGACATGATGTAACATCTATCCGAGAATATCAGATTGAATGTTTTCATTAATTTACAGCATTCGACTTCATTGTGAACCGTCAATACTTATGCTACTAATGCTACTGAATACAAGATGTCGCAAGTGACTCTCCAATGACTAATTTTCAATTGTATTTTCCATAGTTAGTAAATAATTCTCGACTTTTCAAAAATATATTGAGTAGAGAAACTGAACATAACAAAGTGATTTTCTGAACTATTTATTTTATTCAATAAGTATAATACCCGGTGATGGAATTATTTTCATTTAAACGGGTGTAGATAAATGTAAAGCAAATTTTTGAGAAAGAAAGTTTTTGGCTTTCTACTACTCCATCTTGATACAACAAACAAGGATGAGGGAATCTTCCAAGGAAAGGAAGGAACTTCCTTAAACTTATCAAAACGATCAAATTTAAAATGGAGTGGAGTGATACTATGAGGATCTTCACTTCGAGTCATATTTTCATTTGCCTCATACAGGGTCTTCAAAAAATGCAGATACTTTGATCTCATGAAAAAATGAGTGGAACTCAATTCTTTCTAATGGAACACCCTGAATATTTCAACATTGTTGAGCTCTACATCCAATTTTAGATTAACTTTGTTCAGATAATACTATTTCTATTTTGAACCGTTTTCGAGATAAACTGTTTCAAATGGAAATTGAGATGGTTTCCTGTTCATCACTCATTTTTGTAAAACAGATTTCTTTTGATGTTTCTCAATTAGTCACAGATAATACAATGAAAAGATAATTATTAAAATACTCCTCAAGCATCGAATGAAACTTCTCTTCAAACAATAGTTTTATTAACGCTGAAACACGAATTGAAAATAATAAACCCATAAATTAATGAGTTAATTTAATCATCAGTGTATTTCAGAATATGTTCAAACACATCTCCACCTCTACTGAAACAAACATGTAATCTCTCCAAAAGTTTGTCATGTGTAGCGCTTCTGATCAAGTCTGGAGTCAAACTATTGAAAGCAGTTGTAACTCTCGATTTCATATCTTCCATTGTTGTTATTGGAGTAGAGTAAACCATATTTTTAATGGAACCCCACACGAAATAATCTAATGGATTGTCATCTGGTGTTCTAGGAGGCCAACGAAAAGGTCCATTATTACCAATCCATCTGTCTTCGAAGATTTCGGTTGAAGCTTCGCTGACTGAATGAGAATTATGGGGTGGAGCACCACCCATTTGGTACCATACACGTTCTCTTCCTGGTCTATTATTTGAAATCATTCGAATTCCATTCCTCAGTAAATCTTCATATTTTGATGCATTCAAATTATCATCATAAAACTCGATATGAAAAATTGACTCATTCTTTATGGCACAAAATACATTGAATTGCCATCTTTCTTGAAAACCCCTTTGGCGGACAACATGGGGATTTTCTGGCGCCCAATAATGACTGTTGTGTCTATTGAAAACTCCATTTTTTGTGAACTTGGCGTCATCTGTCCATATGATATTGTCAAGGAAATGTTCATCCTCTTGAGTCTTGACAAGTAACCATTCAAAGAATTCCACTCTACGAGGTAAATCAGTCTCTTTCAAATGTTGGAGACAGTAGAACTTATAGGGATGCCATTTATGCTTATTAAGAATTCGACAAATTTTCACGTAGGATATACCTATCTTCCTTTCAGCCTCGTGCAGAGAAGCATTTGGAAATGCATGAAAGTATCCCAAAACTGTTATACCATTGTCATCATCATCCACTTTAGTCTTCTTACGAATAATTTTTGGACGGAAGGTTCCATTCAACCTACAGTTTTTTAGTAGTCGATTTATCACATTATTATTTGGGAAGTTGTGGATATCTTTCATACTAGGCATGTTCTACATGCAATTCTATTGCACTGACCATATATTATTAATAAATTCAAGAAATCTTCATTACTGTAACCTAATCTTGACATTATTCTATTATAAATGGTAGCTATCACAATCAGTCAAAACCACCAACGAAAGTCTGACGTTAAATAATTGGTTTATTTATTTTTCCAAAGCACACTATTAAAAAATATTAATGTGTACTGTTGTACGTTAGAGACCAATACCTCAATGTTTACAAATTGTAACTTTTTCTAAGGTAGGTACATTCCAATTTCTAATTGACTGATCTGAGACAGTTAAGAAACTGGATCAAAAAGAAATATTACTAAGTATAAAAAAAATGTTGAATATCCAATATAAGTGATGAATTCAAAAAAACGAGCAAGAAAACCACGTCAGTTTCCGTTTGAAACAGTTTATCTCGAAAACGGTTCAAAATAGAAATATTATCATCTAAACAAAGTTAATCTAAAATTGGATGTAGAGCTCAAAAATGTTGAAATATACAGGGTGTTCCATTTGAAAAAATTGAGTTCCGCTCATTTTTTCGTGAGATCAAAGTATCTGCATTTTTTGAAGACCCTGTATGAGGCAAATGAAAATATGACTCGGAGTGAAGATCTTCATAGTATTACTCCACTCCATTTCAAATTTGATCGTTTTAGTGCAAGAGAGTTCAAGATTATCAGCATTTATAAAAGTTCAAGTTTGGTAAAAAAATATTGAAATTAATTTATATCTTCTAAACGGTAATAGATAGGTAAACGGAAATAATAATGAATTTATTAACAAAGTGATAATGAATCATAATATGATATTATATACGGGGTGTTCCATTTGAAAAATCAAAGAAGCCGCTACTTTATAGCAGAAGCGACAACGCCGCTCCGTCTGAAATATTTTAGGCGTGTAGGTCATATTGATTTATGCATACTGTGAAATTTTCAGGTTGATCCGTTAAATAGTTTGTCAGAAACGGCTAATTGACGCTCTTCATGAAAAGCCCTGTATAACAAGTATATACGTATTATTTATTCGACATAATTAAATAATTAGCGAATTGAAAATGAAACGAAAATCAGTTTTTAACTAGAACTAGGATCATACTATTAGGTAATATTTAGATCTTTTTGAAGAATAATATACGTAGGTACTTTAATTAAAAATTTAAACGTCTACTTTTGTTAAGAGTAAAGTATTTTAATGCACCATCAATGTCTGTAGCATCATACACCTCTTGTTCAATAGACAAGATAGCCAAATTTGTTAGTCATAGAGTACTCATTGTCGACCTCAAATCATTTTTAATCAATTCCAATTTCGAAAAACATCTCTGACAGCTGGCATTGCTTATGACAATTGTAAAAAATATTCGCAGCATGATTAAATTATTGGACAAAGTGTCTTCCAGCTTCTATTTCCAGCAAAAGTCATTCATCATTCGTATAATTGACGTCTCACAACAGATTTTATTGCATATTTTTGGTACAAAAGTGAGGTTGATGTTTAAACAACGATTTGTTTAGCTTTCATGAAACTGCTACTCTATGAATCGTTTTTCAAATATAGAATCAGTGAGGTGGTTGTTGGCGAGAGTATAAAGAGTGAAAGTAAAAAAGATTTGATCGTGAATTACTGGCCATGATAAAAAACATATCGAATGAAACCGAAGAGAAACTTACAAAAATCGTTGGTGGAACAAGAAACAAGTGGTGAAACAAGTGGTTTCTGGAGTAGGAGTAATCTGACAACTCGATTGTTGTGTTTTATTCGAGAAGTTTGTTTGCTGTTCAAATTTATCAGTATGTCATGGGGATGCAAATTCCACTTAGATCACATACATGAAGCATCAAAATGATATATTCTTGTATCTTTTATCGAATCCATAATCACGATCATCAGGCAACTGTAAAGACGTATTTTGTTCCAGGAAAACTGGAACAATCACTTTTCCCAATCACAGAAATGCATTACTCTTTTCGACGCGTTTCAGCAACCATGTCGGTGTCTTCAGGGAAAAAAAAAGAGATGAAGGAAACTCTCCTTCATCTCTTGGTTGAATAAAGTATTTGTTCCAAACTCAGAATGTGTGAATGTGAAAATAATGTTTTATATACTATATTTTTTCATTTGGGATAAACGTATTTACCATAAAACTGAAAAGGTTTCTAGATCTTACTTTCGAAGATATGTATAACAGAAGAAGTGACAGATTTATTATACAATTTTGAACATGGCAATTGAGTCAGTCTGATGAAATTTGAGAAATAGTTTTTTATTGGTTACCATAAAATCCCATAATTGAGAGAAAAAGAAATAATTTTTCTTCTCTTACTATATTATAAGATAAATATCCTCAATTCGTTTCTATTGAAATTATTCGAAAATAAATGTTCTGGAGTCTCATTGAAAATATTTCTCGTTGAATAACCTTAGTTTGGCTCATTTTATTGCAATCGTAAGAATCTGTATTTTGTTCTCTGTAGTAGAACTTTGAAAATCGGTCAAGGTAGGTTAGGAGTACATTTACTTTCTTTTATATGATATGTGACAATTTCACTTGTTTCTCTCGAGGGACAAAATGCATCCTTTCGTGATATATATTCATTTCCAACTTTTCATGAACAGTCTTTCAAATGAAGTTTATTACATTCTGTACCGAACAGCAATTTGAAGTCACAAGAAACAATGGGAACATTCTCCAACATCGTTTTTCCATCCCCGGTTTCACATAATGC